CACGCCGTTTATCAATGTATACCGTTTTTCTCTCTCTCTCATTTCTCCACCATGTGTATTTTATTTAGAACCGGTAATGGTGAACCATCACCGATTGCATTGTTCTATGCTCGAGACACCTTCCGCTGCTCATTGCTACCGCAACCACTGATGAGGAACCCAGTTATTACCCCCATACAGTCTGATTTGGATTCCATTCGTATACCAGATCCATCATGTCCTCAGTTCCCACGATTAAACAGTTGGTGCGCGAAGATAAACTAAACCACCAAGAATCCCTAGCACATGTAAAAACATGTTAACTCGGATTGAAAATTTAAAAATGGAATACCGGTGCTCAGTTCTTCTGAAAGAGCCGCTGAAATGTTGAAGAACCAGTATGCCCAAGCTTTTGCTGCGTCAACTAATGAAGGATTACTGTACCTCCCTCGCTGGACGCATCATATTCCACACCTTTTACTAACCAACGTATCATTCACTAAAGAAAAGGCTAAAGCAAAGGTATTGTCTTTGAGGAAGAATTCATCGCCAGGTGCAAATGATATTCACCCCCAAATCCTGATCTGCTTGGCAAATCAAATATCTGAGCCATTAGATTTCCGATTCCAGAGGATGTTCGATCACACTTCAATCCCACCATCCTGAAGGTACGGAGTAATTTCACCCGTTTATAAAGGTGGTTGCCGTAGCGATCCCGCTAACTACTACTCTGTAACCCTCCTTCCAGTGTTGTCCAAAGTCATGGAGTCCATTATAGCAGATTCGCTGATGGAACACCTGGAGAAGCACAATGTTCTGTCGCCGAATCAATATGGATTCCGATAGAAGCGAACCTGTTCATCACACGAGAAGAATGTACGAAAGCAGTTGATGACCGCGACACGTTAGAAGTTATTTATCTAGACTTCTCGAAAGCGTTTGATCAGGTAAACCACATTTCATTGCGGAAAATTCCTAATCACGATATTCGGGGCTTCATGCTTGATTGGATCGAAGCATTTCTCCAAAATCGGACCGTATCAGTTCGTGTTTCTGATTTGCTTTCCAGTTCTATGGACGTTACCCGCGGGGTTCCACAAGGATCTGTACTTGGCCAGAGACTATTCCATTAATTCATTAACGTTTATAAACGACCTAGCAAAGTCTTTGAGGCCAAATTCATTACTGTTTGCAGATGACACCAAACGTTGCAATACCAGCGGGCTCATTGACACTCCAGGAAATACTGAAAGCAGCTCATATCTAGTCTTTCGTGAACGATATTGAATTCAATGGGCCAAAATGTAAGGTTCTATCTCTACGATACAATTTTCTTACTTCCCCGGAAATGAACAGCTGCCCCATGCCTCAAGTGAGAACGATTTAAGCATCTTCATTCAAGAAAACTTAAGCTGCTCACTCAACTGCACCAGGGTGTCGAACGCAACTGTAAACAATGTCGGTTTGTTTAAGCGCATCTTTGGCCCGTTTGATTCAGCGTTTCCCCCCGTTAACTATCAGCATACATTCGCCTACTCACAGAGTACACCATCCAAGCCTGGAATCCATGGCTACAACATAATTGCAAATTACCGTAGCGTCCACAAATGGTGGCCACCAAAATGATTTGGGGGTTGAATCGTTATTCGTACACAGAGAAACTGGAGTTGTTGGGGTTACATTCCAATCACTAGCGGCGCATCAGAGAAGATATGAAACGGTATACCAAATAATGCAAAACCCAGGCCAGCCGTGTCGCCCGCTTCTGAAATTATCACCCAACGTTCATCCTAAAGGATATCCATTTAAACTAGTGGTCTCAAAACGTCGCTTGGAATGCCGGCGTCAGTCATTCGCAGTCAGAGTGTGTTCGATCTGGAACTCTCTCCCACCCCAAGTCGTCTATGCACCAAGCATGGAATCTTTCAAAGTGAGACTCGATGCAACATTATCACACCTTACACATTTCAACATAAGTGAAGCTGCGTGCAGCAGTGGAAAAAGCACGTATAATCTGCCATTTTACACGAGGAATTGTATGCATCAATGTCTTTTAACCACAAGACGAACCTATGGGAGGAGAAAAACATGAACTTGTAAGTTACTTCCATAATAAATATTTGATGTTTGATTTTCAAAACGGGTATTGCAGATGATAGCGTTATCGTGCTTGTTCGCTTCCCTCTTTCGTTTCTTTTCCGACGAGATGCTTGGAACAGTCCAGCCGTGTTTCACATCTCTTTCTCTGGCAGCACGAATAACGCTCAAAATGACAATCATTCGTTTCCCAAGTCCCAGTTGCTGTACTACGACAGGTAAACACCGATAGCTTATTTTAAAAAGATCAACGGTCATCCCGTTTCAGGTGATTAACTCTGATAAGCATAAGCCGGGTATTTCGAACAACCACGATGGACCCAAAATGCCAACTAAGTCATACTATCATATTAGTAATGGAGGATTTGATTCAATTTTATTGAAGGAATTCGTCATGTATAGAGCAAATGAAGTGTTAACTGAACAACTTGGAAGTTCTGTACAACCGTTTCGACTTGGTCTTAGTGAGTAGTGAGTGAATCCATCCACTCAACTGGGGATCGAACCCCCGGGACCTTACAGACAGAATGAAAGCATGCTACCCCCGGGGCACCTGATCAGACCGTTTCTTTTTTGTTTTTTTGTTTGTTTTTTTTAATTTTCCGTCCACACGCATTATTCGCGCCATAGACGACGAATTCCTTCTCACTATCATGTTCAAACATGGGTCAGCATCTAGTTATCATGAATAACTCACATTCAACATGAGTTAACCTGACCGTGAAAATGGTGAAACGCACCCCATAAAATCCAAATTTCATCCAAGGGGCGCCCACACGAACCAGTCTTCCACGGACAGGGATCAGATTCCGATCACCGCAAAGAATACTGGAACCTAATCCGGAACAATTGACTACCACATCGATTTTGTTATTCTTCGCCCAGTTGTAAACATCGCGTAGAGATTCGAATAGGATCGATTGTCCAACGCTCAACGATACCGGAAACTTTGTATTCTTTTGAAGATTTGAAAGCATATAGGGCATATAATGCCGCCCCTCGATCACACATGTGACGTAACTATAGCCTCCATTCAGACCTTCGTTAAATCCAAGGGATAGAAGCTGTATACACCGAAAATTATCACAAAGTTACCACGCATACCTCATCTTTTTCCACCGTCTTGCTTCCACAGCAAAACATTGTGACATACGGTCTTCGACGAGGCACATGTTCATAAACATTGTACATTGGCAAAAAGAATGCCCCGGCAACTGATGCATCCTGACTACGAGCTAGGTCCCAGTAGTATGTATGACCGTTTTTACACCAACGATTGAAAGGACAATCTGTACAAACGGTGTTCGAGTTGCAACACGTCACTCCGGGCATAAGCGAGGGATCGGGCCGAAAAATCCCGGCAGAGCCATGGCTAATCAGGGCCGAACCGTGATCAGCCCCAACCAGGCAGAATTCCGAATCAGGGTACTCAGCCTACAGCAATTGCTAAAGACGGCCGATTGTAACTTACATGAAGTGCTGTTGCAGTGGACAGGCCAATGACACCGCAACCAATAATCCCGAAACGGACCATGTCACTGAAATAGAATGCAATTAAAATGCCTTCAGAGCTTGATGACATTAACACAGCAATACAATGGTTCTGGTGTGCAAGATAAATAAGGTAAATCGTAGGGTTGTGTAAGTGTAGGAAACGTTCTCTAATACAGGTGAGATCTGTTTCCAAAAACACTTAGGCAATAATAAAAATAACGAATAAGTAGAGAGGAGTTCATGCAACTTATTGATCATTATAAACAGCAGGCACGAGAAATAACAACAAAAATTGAAAATTCCAAGAGGTATTTTTTATTAGACACACATGTGTGATGAACGACAGAAGAGGTAAACTCCGCAACCACGAAGACCTGCTGTTTCGCCATGGAAACCGATAACCTAAGCCCCGGGGCTTGAAGTGGCGAACCACATAAGGCCCCGATATGTTAGGCGTGGTATTGAACCGGGCGACAGCAAAGCTGTCTACCATCAAAGTTGGGTGTCGGTGGCTCGAACCTCGGACCACAGGGTCCAAAGCACGTCAGTGACAGCGATTGAACTGCTGCGCAACCACCACCCAGCAATGTCCACTGAACGCAGCTTTATAGCTCTTGTTGGTTACGCAGCGAATGAGATTTCTCTCCTGGGTCGGCGGAACAAAACATAGACGACTATCGAGCACTAGATTTAATTGAAGCACGCAGGTCATGTGCACGAGGTCGGTTTCAGTTTTTACAATCATTAAACATGCCATTTAATGCACGAGGTTTGTCGACGGTTCTATACAGCTAACAGAAGGTCATCAAAAGAGGTCAAGTTTCTAATTCCATCAGCGCTCGAGGTCATCTCAATCCATTTCGATATAAACCAAATAATACTTGTATGATCACTAGGCCTTCAAAGGTCATTCGTTCACTAATGGATGGCACATTATTGATAAATTTACCCTCGTTCACTAATGCAAACACACAGTTCATGTATATTACATAACACAGTTTCGTCACGTTAAACAATTATGATTATGTAACGTCTACCCCGACCCCATCATGTTTGCTGAATTTTAAACTCCATTTATGTAGCCAGTCGATGAAGAAACTTGTCTGGTAACTTGTTTTAACTGATCGCACGGGTGTTTCCAAGAGAAGTGTTTTATCACCAAACCGGCCCCTGAGTTGGGACGATNCGAAATCGGAAGTGCGACAATGGCTCGTTCAATGTAACTAGAAATTTCAAATGCACATTCTTGACATCCTGTGTGCCATGGTTTATGAAAGAAATAACTTGTAGAGGTTTTTATAACCAATGTAGTAAAGATAATAATGAAAATACATTCCCTATATGTATCATCATTAACATGGACGGTTGACTGGCGTTCTTTGATTGAGTAAACAAAGATCCAACGCGTAGATCAGTGCAAAATCACAATGTTCAATGAGAAGCGTATAGGAGTGAACTAGAAGTGAAAGCCTCAGGCCTCCGAAAGCCTCCGTATGGTCGGGATTGCGTGTCTAAGGTTGCGGCTGGTCACCCTCCCTTGCACCTCACCAAATGCTCCCATACGACCAAGCGTCTCGAACAGCCTCTGCTGAGGAAGCCCTACTCACTGCCTCCTCATGCTGGCGAAGGTGTTTCCCACCAAACTGAGAGCACGGAAAGCCGACATCCGGGGCTATAGCCGGATTGGTGGACCAACAGCATTTCTCCTAGGGAAGTTGGTCAAAAACCTTCCAACCAACCTTCCAGGTTGGGGTCCGAAAGACTCCACAACTGGTTGGTTGGAGACATTGAAGAGTATTACAGCGAACCGGCAGCAGTGGCGTTCTTGTTGTCATTTCTTATCCGGTCAGAATGCTTGAAACGATATGTATGCAGATTTCGATTGCGTACTCTGCATGTTGACCATAGTGGCTCACCTTCTTCTCCCTCCCTCAAAATAGATTCAATCCCTGTCCACCTTAAATTTTACCGCTAATCTTGTATGCATTGCGAGTTTGGCAGCGATCAATGAAGTTCGCTTCACTGTTTTTCGCTGTACGATGATGATGATGATGATGATGATGATGATGATGATGATGATGATGATGATGATGATGANGATGGCCAAAAACCCTGGTTCCAAACCAACCATGATGGGGCGTACGAACCAAACACACAACCTCCCCTTTGTGACAGTGGTCATCGGCTCGATTGGTCACCAAGGTGTATTGGGCACCTTGGACGTTTGACCCCGTCCAAAGGGCGAATGATCCGACGAACTGAACACCGACCCCCAATGGATTGCGGTTTTTGCACACCGCCCCGCTGCCTTGCGGGCCAGCCTTTGGCTAGCCAAAGGCTCTGATAGTGGATTTCTCAAGAAAATTCACCTGCCTTGGCCTGGGCAACTTGGCAGTATTCCACGCACATGCGAATCATGAAACGTTTGTCTTTTTCATAAAGATTATTGTACCATGATTTGCTTGGCACACAATGTAGTTTCAGACGTGTGTGAAATATATATATATATATATATATGTACATAAGAAGTGAAACGCTAGAAGCTAAGCTAATCGTATTGATAAACTGCAGTTAACTTTTGAGCTCTACAGCAGATGAAAAATTGATATGAATAAGGATAATAAGCACAAAAACGCAATTTCCGCCTACAAGTCGCAGTTAAATTCAAAACAAATTTCTAATATACCGATTTTTGGTTTGCACTAGAGTCTGTCTGTGATAGATGAGTACAAATTAAAAATGAAACCTTTACTCCTCAGGCTACACTGAACTCGAATGGGTTTCACCAAATGTCAGCTATATATAGATAAACTAATCGGACAAGTTCGGATCTATGGACTCAACTCAGCATCAAATCGTGGACCCCGCAAGGAGGGAACGCAAACACACTACCTACTTGAGCACCGGGCAGCTAAGCGGATTGTTTTAATGGTTTTTTTATTTCCTTTTTCTATTTATTGAATATACAAATGAATGGTCAACATTCAGAAAAGAGGGCCGCGGCTAGACGAAGGCTGTCTGGGAAGATGGGCGATGGTGGAGCGATTTGAACCCCGGGACTCACAGGTCACAAATTGGTGATCTAACCACTTGGCCACCACCGCCCCATTTTGTTTATCCAAGAAATAGCACACCCCATGTTTGCAAGCTTGTTGCAAGCATCACACCTCACTCGCTGAAGCATTTGCCACCAGGATTAGGATTCGGTTGGATACATTTCGAACCGGACAAATTATTACACTGGTCTCCAATAGTTTGATGCAGTCAACTTCCAAATGTCTCCAACCGAGTCATACGCCCTGCAGATCAGTGCTCAGATAAGCGACTTACGAGACTGGGAACAAAGATGGATTGTGCCATCTCGTGTTTAGATAGACCAAATGAAAAACAGTCTGCTCGGGCGCCCACCCGGTTGTCAAGTGAATAGTATGCACGCATTCCACTCGGGATATCCCGCGCTTCATTTTAGTTAGGTAGACGGTATCGACTGTTAGCAAGACCCGAGCAGATAGAAACAGCTGTGCAGTACTTTCCAGCTATTTAATTCACCCATCGGCCGATTCGTAAACGACGAAATTTATTACAGACTCAAAAGAATCCTCCCCTTTTCTTATTTATCAGGTGTCTCCCAAGGCCTCAGTATGGTTGGGGTGGGTGTCTAGGGTTGCGGCTGGTCACCCTCCCTTGCACCTCACCAAATGCCCCCATACGACCAAGCGTCTCAAATAGCCTCTGCTGAGGAAGCCCTACTCACTGCCTTCTCGCGGCGGAGGTGTTTTCCCACCAAAGTGAGAGGACGAAAAGCCGATATCCGGGGCAATAGCCGGGTTGGTGGACCACTGGCAGTTCACCTAGGGGAGTTGGCCAAAAACCCTGATTCCAAACCAACCATGAGGAGACGCACGAACCACACCCACACCTTTTCGGTTGCGGCAGTAGTCACCGGCTCGATTGGGCATTGAGGTGTATTGGGCACCTTGGACGTCTGACCCCGTCCGAAGGGCGTATGATCCGATGAACTGGACACCGGCTCCCAATGGACTGCGGTTTTCGCACACCGCCCCGCTGCTTTGTGGGTCAGGCTTTGGCTAGCCGAATGCTCCGGTTGTGGATTCCTCAAGAAAATTCACCTGCCTTGGCCTGGGCAACCTGGCAGTACTCAGCCCACAAGCCAATCATGGAACATTTTTCTTTTTATAAAGATTATTGTGCCATGATTTGTTTGGCACACAGTCTGTCCTCAGACAAGTGTGAAATATATATAATATATAAATATATATATTTATCAGGTAATGCTCCCACAATAGCTCTGTCTCTGTTTTGACAGACAGTTATTTGTCTCAGAGTATCTATCAACTTTCTGGTCAAAGACACAGAGATTTCGACACTATTGTTGCTTTTTATGTCTTTACTTCAAATTACCTCAGTGTAGGTTATAGTTTAAACAGTGAACCTTCTAAAAACCTAATGAACTTAAACCTATCCTGCGTATATTCTCTCTTTTATGACACTTTTAAAGGACGCCGAGTGTGCGAAATTTATCGGCACAAACACTAACAAAATGCAATGAATGAACACGCGATAGTTTGTTCATTTCTTAAAACCGCTGATCTTGCACTTTTGCGCGGCGTCCGCGGCTTCCTGTTCTATAGCCATGGCCCTAATTTCTGACGCTGCCTTCCTCTGAAAGGTGCGCCCAAGAAGTTAATTTCAATACTGCAATCGCTTTATACTAATAGCCGAAGCCGAGTACGAGCTTACGGCACTTTTTCGCCCGAGTTCACCACGGAAAGTGGTGTTCGTTGAGGTTGCCCTCTCTCTTTCCTTTCCTTTTTAACTTTGTTACAGATTTAATCATGCATACAGCCCCATCCTCGTGCGAGGTTAGTGGCATCGATTTACTCGCAGGTGGCAGGCTGTCTGATCTGTAGTATACAGACGGAATTGTGCTGCTAAGGGAAGATTCAGATAAGTTGCAAGCTTTTCTGGACAGCTCGAGTGCCAGTGTAGCCATGTTTGGTATGCGTTTTGCACCTTCAA